GTAATTTACTTAAAATGCTTGATATATTTTCCTGTTATTAGTTCTTCTTCACATAGGAGAAAAGACAAGTCTATTGAGTTATAGTACAGCCCTTTTATAATTAACAACTTTGATGTTTGCTCTCCAGACTCCTAAGTACACTGTTATAAAAAATTGATGCAAGTACTGCAGCAGAATTGCAAGAACAAGATCGTATCTCAGGTGTCCCACATAACACATTGGGATGCCAATTTACATTGTTATTATCAACAGCCCAATAAATGCAATTTCTAATTTACATCACAAGATGGCAGCAAATTTTTAATTCACTTAATATTTTACTAACCTAGATAAACCTAATATCTTGATATTATGGTTTTCTTACAAAACGAAAGCAGCCTTTGTTTAATGATCAGATATATGTGGTATTTACAGAGATGTCAATGTTTCAGAAGTATGAAGTCAAAACATCTACAGAAGTGTATTTCTATCTTAAAATCAATTTAAAAGGCAATTACCTTGAACTTTAAGGATCAGTAGCTCACAGTGTAATAGTTACTAAATCCCATTAAAGGTATTTTGGATAAAAACAACAGCTTTTATCTATCGTCTTTGATTTCTTGAAGAGAAAATGCAACAAGGCATTTTTTGGAATTCAGGTGGAGACTCTCAAAACTTGATCATGTGGATTCTTTCCTCTATAAGCAATTCTGATCTGTGTTTGAAATGTTTGCAGGCATGAGCTTTGAAAGTTATGAAACGAGAAGCTTGGCTTAGCTCCTTTAGCAAATCTTTTCTCCTGGGCTGACCAATACCAGAAGTTAAAACTGTTTTATCTGCTTGACCTGTTTTGTCCCAGGTGTTAATTGTCATTATTTGTAGGTCTTACAGAAGATGCATCTGATGGCCTTTAAAATGCTCTACCTTTTGCTTTCCCTTGCAGTTTCACAACCACAGGCTGTGCATAGCCAACTGGAGAAGCCATCAAGTACTGCAATTCTCTGCAATAACTGTGGAAACCCATGCAAAGGAGAAGTTTTGAGAGTTCAGAACAAGTATTTCCATATTAAGTGCTTTGTTTGCAAAGGTAAGTGTTTGTCACAGCTGTTCCTATGGGTAGGGCATTAGCACTGGGCATGTGACTTCATGGTCCTGGAAAATGCACAAACATATTTTGCAATCCAATCCACACCTGAAAGGGTTTGCTCTAAACTCTATGACTGCTTACTGTAAGATTATAAACATCCTAAATCCTAAAAGTGGAGTATGTTTTGAATGGATATAAACCCGTGGAGTTTACTAAGAGTTGGGACCTGAAGAAGAACAGGTCGGGAGAACTGGTAGTGAAACACAGTGCAGGGTTAGGAGAGAATTAACATCTACAAAAAAATTTGGAGGTTATCCGTCTGTCAGCTTTCTAATGCATGCCATGGGGTGAGCCATGGCCACGTCCGTTCAGACTCTCTTGTGTTGGACTGTGGTGTTTGAATCCCAGTGTGACCCTCTGTGCTTTTCCATTTTTTGGGGGGGAACTACTTGGTTTACTCCAGGTTGGTGCCTGGCTGTGATCTGATATTGACACATTGTGAATGGCAGAAGGATGGTCAAGGAAACAGGGAATTAACCGATACAACACCCCTTCTGTAGATCCTTGGTTGTTTGAGAGATTAACTGGAAGTTGCAAAGATCTAATTTGTTTTGAATGTACAAATGAGTAAATGTTCAGTGATTTTTACTGGGCAACCTGCATACTTCATTATTAAGCAGTACTTCAAATGACATTTATTAATCCTTGTAGCACAGCCTAGAAACATGAGCATGGCTCTGGTCCCAGCTGTGTTAATGTGACTATTTCCATTTCTAGTTAGAGGAAACATCAGAAAGAAAACTGTCGTTATCTGTCAGCTACACTGATATTTTTATAAATCCCATGGGATTAAGTATATAGTATTCAATACCTGAGTCAATCTTGAATAAGTTAAATAGACAGAATTAAATGTTCAGCTCAATAATTGCATTCTTTTCAAAATTACACAGCAAGAAAAATAAGCATAGTGCACTATTCTAAATAGCAAAAATAGTTTGGTCACCTATTCAGAATCAGAATGGTATTTAAAGCAGAACACAGCCCGTACGTACATCTTTCAAACTCTTTTAAAGCCACCTGTTCTTATGGCAAATTTTATTATCAAATTAGTTTTTCAGACCTAACTCAGGAAGAGAGCAGCTGATTTGTTATTCAGGAGTCTTGTCTCCTGCATGAAGTCTCAGTAACATACTGGTATGTGCTCCATATAATTATCTTGATGAAATCCAAGCCCCCTTTTATACAGATCTGCTATGAGAAAACATTGACAAGTCCTATGGAAGGAACGAGACACAACCATACATCCACATTTTCTTTTCACAGGGCATCTCCTTTTAGAGGTTGCCAGGTCACCCGCAAATGCAGCAAGGGGATTCTGAAACTATTCACTGATCCCAAATTTAGGCAGTGCGGAGGCTTCTTTTCCCACCCCCATGCAGAAGATGATGGTGAATGTACTGTAGAAGCTGTATTAGCCCTACCTGTCTGGAAAAGATAAGAAGGAGTTTGTTCGCTTCAGGCAAATCTTGCATAAAATGAGAAAAAAAAATCACTATGTTAAGAAGGAAGAAGCAGGGTAGCATCTGTCAGCCACCCAGCAGACTCAGCTGGCACAGGAGGTGGTGTCAGAGGCGTGTGGTTAAACTGCTTCTTGGTGTCAGGGCTCTTGGAGTACGTATATTCCTCCTTACTAATCATTTGGCTAAGTTTGCACACATAGTTGGGGTTTTTTTCCCCCCCCACATCATTTAAATGCCATAATTCCTTTTAGCACTTTTCAAGGGTTTCCGTCGATTTACTGTCATCCTTCTGGTATCTGTTTTTGTTTTGTTTCTGGGTTTTATTTGTTACTTAGGAAGCGTAAGTTGCTTTCTAGTGTGGATTTACCACGTTGTTATGTGAGAAGAGCTTAGGAACAGAACAGAGCACTGAATATACGTTTCACTAGCTAACATAAAGGGGGAAAAAAAAGATCAGGTTAGGCAAATATGATTTGGGGTTTTAATCATGTGCTCAAATCGGTGGATGAAAAAATGTAGTTAATGTGTTAGGATTTAGCAAAAAAAATGGTACCCAGTTCTCCTGGTCAGTGAACCACTTACCTCCTTTCAGCCTTGGAGGAGACGTCTCGTTCATGCCCCAACCCCTTTTCTTGTCATGCTGCTGGACTGTTGTGCATGGGCAGGGTGACGGTCCTGGGAATATATTTACCTTACAGTTGACTCCTCCCTGCGGTGCATTTATTTTGATGGTACTCAGCGGTGCAGTTTGCCCCCTCTCACCTCATCCGCCAAAGATAGCACCTGGAAAGAGGCAGCGCGTCCAGCGTCCAGCACAGCCGCAGGACAGTCCCAGGACAGATAATCCCACGTGTGAGCTGGCTGCATTGCCCTGCTAAGCTGCCTGCCTGCTGGGGTTGCCTGCCTCTGTATTAAACCACCTCATAGCCTTCATCAGAAAACCTTAGATATTTCTAAAACTGCAGAAAATTACATTCCTTCTCACAGTATTTACAGATGTATCATGGTGGCGACCACAAACTGACAAAGAGCCCGTGAAGAAGAGAGAAAAAGGCCATGTCTTGAGAGGGTGTCTATAGGTATTTGAGGTCTGTTTGAATGACTTGATTAGCGACAGATGATATTACACTGGAAGAAGTCACATTTACCTTTTTGAATATGTATGAAATGTGAAACCATTTCTTTGATAATGTTGGATACATTATGAGGTTTCAGGGGGGCAGAGACATTTAATAGCTTCATTTTTTTAGGGTAGAAAGGTAGTTTTGTATATTGCCATACTGCTGTCTGATTATTCCTATGGGGACTGTGAGTTTCAGAATGGTAACAGCAAGTATGTAGGTGTCTTTTGTATTTAAATTAAATTATATAACCAAGGAAGGTTAGTATAAAGTCACTCATTCCTATCCAGTTCTTCTTACATTCCCCAGATAATGGTTCTAAAGAATTCTAAGAAAAGTTTTAAAAATCAAATAATTCTTCTTATTAGTCAAGATTGAGATACGCATCCAGATTACAAATTTTAGTAGCAATAGTGTGAACATCTGCTAGTTTTGCTCAGTAGCAAAGTTTAGTAGGACTTATGGAGGTAAATAGGCATTATAAATAAGGTTTATACTCATATCTATTCACATATAATGTTTCTTGTTAAAGTGCAGATCTAATCTGATAGTAAAAGGCTGTAGGGAACATGCCATCTAGTCTCACATAAAATTTTTACTCAGTCTTTACGTTAAAATATCTCCCTTTTTAATTGGGTTTAATAAAAATGCGGATATAATAGAAGTAGATGCCTTTGAAATATAAGGCAAACATTTTATTCATTAGACTTCAAGGGCTTTGGTTCCCATGTTTGCAAATTCTCTTATTATTTCTTGCTGCTGTAATGAAAGCATCAAGGAAAATGACAAAAGGTGATAAAATATCGATGACTCAGACTATCAAATTAAAACAAATTGTGTTAGTCTAGTTCATTCTAAGGGTGTCTGTCAGGTCAGGACTGCTTCTGATACAGGGCATGGTATTAGGCAAATATTCACTTGGAGCTCAATTACAACAGCGTAATTTAGTGAGCCAGTAGAGACACAGACTAATGTAGAATTGCAGATAGGAGAGACGTGGGTGCTGCAATTATATTATCCTGGATAGCCTCTTTGACCTTTCATAAATATAGGAATTACCTTGTTTTAGGAGTGTTTGTCAGGTATTTCTTTTTCTGTGATGTGATTGCATCCCGGCATTTCCAAAGTAGCAGTAACCTATGTCAAATACAGTAGTTAGGAAATATTGGAAGCGTGAATCAAAGGCCAATGTTTCTAGGGGGTCTGGATAATTTGATTACTATAGCTTTACATAAAATCAGAAAGTATGCTTTACGGTATTTTATATAGTCACTCTAGCAGACCAAATCACGGACAATCCATAGTATGTTTGCAAATCTATTTGCATGCAAAAATCCTGCAGCCTCCACCCTAGTTAAATGGGAAAAATCCATGCAATCTTGCAAAAAGCTGTTCTTTATACAAGATTACTCATATGTGAGAAGAACCATAAGTCATATCTTTGTCCTTTATTGATTTGGTCTCGATGACATGAAGTAAGCTTGCAAACCGAGCCACAGATGTAAAAATATGACCATTGTGCCATAGCAGCGTCGCTATGTAGTGTCTGTCTTGTTTTACCCCTAATCAAAATTCCCTGGATTGCTCTCTTGCTATGGATGCAGCATGTGCAGTCTTCCATGCTGGCCCAGCTAGCAGTTTCAAGTATACTTTTATCCCCCATGAGTTTTCATCTGTTTGTTTAATTAACCTGTGAGAACATATCACATCTTCAGCTAGGGTTGGGTATGTGTTTCTCTGGGTCAGTATTTCTGATTCTTGTGGCACTACAGTTTCCGGGGAATTGTGAAAAAGCCCTGGGCTGGATATATCACTTTTATACCATTTTTTCAGTGGAACGTACAACACAACCCACAGTTATATCATTTATTGTGAAGCCATGTTAATGGGAAGGGCTAATGCAGAATTTTCCGTGAAAAGTTTAAAAACATCAAGTAACTTGGTAACAGGAGTGATTTGTTTGTTAGATCAAATGCATCTGCTAGAATATATATATGTTAAAAGCTGCACAGTGTAATCTGAGGGACTCGCGTTTGAACATAGCTACGTGGTTTCACGTTTCGGAATGGGAGTCACTTACGGGAATCTCACTAGTAAGATTTCCGAGTCCCAGCTTTTGGCCAAGCAGTAACGGGTGATGGCATGTGTGGTATCTCAGGCACTGCGATGCACCGTTTGGGCTCTTGTTCATCAGGCACTCTCAGCAATGTGCCCATCGCTTCCCAAGTACTTTAGGAGTTTGCAGTCCCAGGTCATATTAACTCAGTATAACAGGGAAACCCCATGCTTTCAATGCCGTACTCTCAGACTCTGGCTTGGGCAGTATGGTGGGTTTGGGACTGACTTACCAATGTTGTGT